CTGCTGGTACTGATGGCACTTCAGGCTACAGGTAAGAGGAGCAGCACATGTGTGCAGGGAAAGTTTATCCAGAGTCCCTCTAATAATGGATGGATGAGGGTAGAACCTGTGTTATAGGTATTAGGCGGAGATGGCTGGCACTGATCAGACCTGCAATGTGCTGCACACTTAGGATATCCCTATACTGGTCTATAATGGACATGATCTTTTATATAGCGAGTAAGGGTTATAGGTAGGCCGCTTGCCAGGGCCTCGGCTGCGGGGTCCCAGCAAGCGACCGCCTAATTAAAGAGCCATCTCTGGCTCTGGAGAGAGCCTCTTCAGAGGTGGGTTTACCACCGGTGCAGCGGGTAGAGCTGCACTAGGGACCAAGGCTAGGGGGGCAGTGAGATCCATTCGCTGATCTATTCCAAGCACCATGGGACCAGGAGCTATATTACTTCTGTAGCTGCTATTGCTCAGCTACAGAAGCTGAGCGATAAGGTATCAGAGTGCGATCTGCTCTCCAATAGCTTATTTAGAGTGGAAAGTTGATACTAGGGGTCTTTTGTACCCCTAGTGTCACCTTAAGGAGTACCTGTCACTACTAACGTGATCCCATTTAGGGGGCTTGTAGGCTCCCCTATGTGATAGCAATTAAATAAAGTAAAAAAATGTATTGAATAAAATAAATGTAAAAATAATAATACAAACTTTTTAAAGTCCCCGTCCCCGCGAGCGCACATGCATTAATGCAAACACGCATCGGGTGCGCCTACATCGATTGAGCTACACATGGGGGTGTCGCCGCACATGCCAGAGTGAAACCAATAGTTTTAGGCCCATTATTAATTGATATCTCTAAACTGATGACCTGTACGGGCCTTTAACCCTTTCGCTGCCAAGGACGTACGGCGTACGGAGCTACAAAAGTGCTTCCAGCTGGCCAGCTCAGTATGCCGTACGGACCTGGCATTTACAGCTCTACTATAAGCTGACCCTTTAATAGCTGTCATCAGCGGCTCACAAGCCCCTGATGACCGCTATTTTCAAAAATACCGGGCGCCAGCTTGGCAGCGAAAGGGTTAAATCATCGCCTATGGATAATTTGGGGTACCAAATTTTATTGCCATTTCACGGACACACGCAATTTTTTACCTGGGCACATTGGGTATCTATTTACTCATTGTAACCTCATCTTTTATATTTTACAAAAGAAATGGTATTTTATTGTGTTTTTGGGCACTAAAATTAACTTAAGTGCATTTTTTACAAAATGTTTGGGTTTGTTAAAGAGTTGCGCTGATATCGTGCAATGTAAAAATGTGCAACTTATTTATTCTATTCTACAGGGTCTTTGCTTTAAAAAATATATAATGTTTGGGGGTTTTAAGTAATTTCCAGGCCTAAAATGTGTATTATAACATGTGTGCAAAAAAATGAAAAAAGGGCCATGGCAGTGAAAGGGATAAGGGTCTGATATGGAATTTTAGGGGGGACCCCATGTTTTTTTGTTTTCGATTTTTGGGTGTTGGGGTCCCGCTTAAAATTCCAACCAGACCTAAAGAGTCTAATATGAATTTATAGGGGAACCCCGCACATTTTTTTTCTTACATCAGGGGTCCCTCCTAACATTCCTACCAGACCTAAAGGTTCTGGTATGAATTGGGAAGGGGACGTGGTGCTGTTTTTTTTTTTTTTATAATGACACTTTTTATTCTGTTCGCTACCTCTGAGATAGCAAACAAAATTACTGATCCGAATGCTGAGCCGAGCATTCAGCAATTCCCTCTCTGCTGTTCGCCCTTTTGAGAATAGGGGTGAACAGCAGTGAATGAACAGATGAACGTTCGCCTCAGACAATCCAGATGTTGCATCGGCTGAGGCGAACAGGTTCTTCCCTTCGGTTTAGCCGAACGTGCTGAGGGAGGTAAAGCGGGCTGAATGCAGCCGGTGTATGGCTTAAAATAGTCCTACAGTCCTACGGGCTTCGGCTCCCTTCACTTCGGCTCAGTTATTCATTCGGCTGCCTTCGGCAGCTTAGTGAAACCCCCCTTAGTTTGCTCAATCACCGCCATAATAAATGACTTGTTTTAACCTTTTTTATCCAAAAGTGCATATTATTGCCTCTGATCTCTTGCAGCCACTTCCTATCTACATGCATGCACTCCAATGATGGCTGCATGGCATTTCTCAGGGCAGGTTTGCTGATGTTGACAACAATGGACCATGTCTGCTTAATGTGTGGTAAAATGGCCACTCTTAATCTCCATCAGAAGCTAATGAGACAGGGTGACAATGCAGAAGCACAAATGGGAGACAGGGACACAGAGTATCATCATATAACAGTAACAGTAATATTGCAGAATGTACTGTACACCACTTTAGGTGGTCATACCCCGTGAGTGTTCAGCACATGGGCCTTCATGAGAGATCACCTAGTATTATTTTAATAAAAGCTAAAGTTTTAAAAGCAGTAAAATTACTTTTGAAAATAAAGTAGAACTGAAGAAAAAACTCTTTTTAGTTTTGGATAGAGTTAGGAAGGTTATAACCCATGTCGGACATGTTTTGCCATCTGTGTCTTATTGGGGAGAATAGGCAAAGTGAACTGCTAATTTTGCAAATGAAAAGCTGTTTAGTATAAGAAAGATTCTGTGTAACGTTGCAGTGGAAGCCCATCAAAGAAGCTACAATTATTTGCAGTAGAAACAATGACATAATTTTCTCTACTTTATGGTTATTACATCTAATGTGCACATCATAAATGCGTATATATAGCGGATCTAAAAGGGACATCAAAAAGCATGCAGTATGAAATGAGGACAAAAAAGATGTTCCTGCCATACACTGTGATTTGGTCACCTGCACTTTCCAGACCAGGAAGAAAGATAGAAAGAGTGGATGTAATTGTGCTTAGCAAGACAAATAGATCAGCTCATTTGACACATTGCAGTGACAGTCCATCAAAGCAGCTACAGTGTCATGTAATACAAATAAAATTTTTAGTCTCTTTCCCTCTTGGTCATTCCACGCAAAGTGCAAATCATAAATGTGTACATATAGCGGATCCCAAAAAATGTCTCTGCTGTACACTTTCACTTGGTTACCTGCACTTTAGAAATAGAAGATATAGTGTAATTGTTCTTAGCAAGAAAAGTAGAGGAAATCATGTATTGTTAATGAGAGGTGTTGCAGGGGTTCCATAGCTTTGTAGCAAAACATCATGAAAGGCAAGAAGTGGATATAAAAATTGAAAGAGTTGTTTTTTCTTTTTTGTTTAAGAGAGATTTCCAGCCATGCCAAAGTATGACACTAGTCCTACTTCCTGCTGTTGTTGCCTGAGGCCAATAGTGTTTGTAAGTTCTTATGCAGTGGTTCTAGCAATACAGTGAAGCATCATTAAGAGATTCCAAAATTAAAATGTACTCCCTTAGGTGAACAACTATGCAATTATTATTTCAAATCATTTGAAATACCCTTAAACTTCATTATAAAAAGGAGATCCCGAGATCCCAAGTGGATGTCTGTCATTGCATTTCAGTTAGGACTGAGTAGCACACTAATGCTACCTCCATGATGCTGGAACAGCAAGGACTGTGATTGGTGACCTGCCTTGCTATCTATAATGCACTGGTGCCATAGAGTGGTGCCAATACTGAAAGGCTTGCTCTGAGCTAACAAGCAGCAGGGGATGGAGTTGTTTTTACCCAACACCAGAGGTTCATCTGCAAGGAAATATCATTGCAGGTACCATGAGATCTGCCCTTTATACTGATTAAATTATTTGTTGGAGGTCAAATTTAAAGTCGGTGGAAAAAAAGACCATATTTTGCTTAGAAAATATAGGGGTCTATTCACTAAGCTGCAGTAGGCAGCCGAGTGAATGACCGACCTGAAGTGAACACTGTTTGGCTATTCACTTCAGGCTGGCATGGCTGATTTCAGCCGTATATCGGCTGAAATCAGCCGTACATCGGCTTGCTTTGCATGGCTGGCTGACCCGAAGTGCAGAAGGAGTTCGACTCAGCCGATCCAACATAACCTCTGGCAGGCTACTCACTGCTGTTCGGCCTATTGTTATAGATGCCGAACAGCAGTGAGTGAATAGCCGAATGCCGCTGAGCGGCATTCGGCTTGGCTGTTCTGCTCGGTCTCTCAGAGGGACCGAGCAGAACAGAAAAATAGTTTAAAAAGTTAAAAAAAGTAAATAGAAAACTCTCGCCCAGGAGAGAGACACTGCTTTTTCTTCTTTTTTCTTTATTCTGACACGGAGTCGTGTCAGAATAGAGAAAAATAAATTTAAAAAATGTTGCCCATTGGAATGCATTGCTAGATTCTTATTGGCTATTTCAATTTGCAATAGCCAATAGTAAACTAGCATTGTACCCGCACCCTCTGCTGATGGACCTGATGGAGAACTGCAGCAGAGGGCGGGTACAATGCTAGTTTACTATTGGCTTTTGCAAATTGAAATAGCCAATAGGAATCTAGCAATGCATTCCAATGGGCAAACATTTTTTTTTTTCTATTCTGACACGGTTCCGGCAGAAGCTCTGGCTAGATCCTTCGGCAGCTTCATGAATAGACCCCATAGTCTCTTCATTTATTACATTTTTATTCAATTTTTCTTAAAATAGAAAAATTAGGAAACAGAGGCATTTTTTTAAGGCTGCCTGAATGACTGAATGAACAAAAATCTTTGAAGGTTCTCAGTAGACCACACATATCCTTGATCAGCTGCCTCTGGCTAGACAAAAAAAAAGCACACAATCTTTGTTTCGCTTCTTTGTTGCATAATGTAGTTGTAGTCTGCTGTTCCCTTCCCTTAGTGGCAGTTGAACTTCTGCATGGTGGAATTCTATATCAGTGCAATGGTACATTTGTAAATGTGAAGCTAATAACGTATTTCCAGATTATGAACTTTGATAATATTAGGTTAATCCTGTAAGCACACTACACTTTTAACTAGATGTTGTTATTGTGTAGAGGTCAATTTTTTCCTGTATACAGAAGTTCAGACATAAGTGAAAAGTAATCTGAAATTATCTATTAATCTAGAAATATTTGCTGTTAGCAGTAAGTATTGGTAAAAATGTCTGACTCTGATGTATTAGTTGCATTTCCATTTCCATGCCATTCATCCACTTGTCTGGCACATGTCTAGAGCATGGTGGTGCAACTGTTTCTGGTTAGGTCCCCTGGTTTCCAGGATAATTGGGAAGGGGACCTGGTGCTGTTTTTTTTTCTTTTTTTTACAATTAAATTTTGTATTCTGTTCACTACCTCTGAGATAGCAAACAAAATGACTGATCCGAATGCTGAGCCTTTGAGAATAGGGGTGAACAGCACTGAATGAACAGATGAATGTTCGCCTGAGCCAATCCAGATGTTGCATCGGCTGAGGCGAACAGGTTCTTCCCTTAGGTTTAGCATGCTGAGGGAGGTGAAGCAGGCCGAATGCAGACGGATTATGGCTTAAAATAGCCCTACATGGCTCCCTTCACTACGGCTCAGTTATTCATTCGGCTGCCTTTGGCAGCTTAGTGAAAAACCCCCTTAGTTTTCTCAATCACTGCCATAATAAATGACTTGTTTTAACCTTTTTTATCCAAAAGTGCATATTATTGCCTCTGATCTCTTGCAGCCACTTCCTATCTACATGCATGCACTCCAATGATGGCTGCATGGCATTTCTCAGGGCAGGTTTGCTGATGTTGACAACAATGGACCATGTCTGCTTAATGTGTGGTAAAATGGCCACTCTTAATCTCCATCAGAAGCTAATGAGACAGGGTGACAATGCAGAAGCGCAAATGAGAGACAGGGACACAGAGTGTCATCATATAACAGTAACAGTAATATTGCAGAGTGTACTGTACACCACTTTAGGTGGTCATACCCCGTGAGTGTTTAGCATATGTTCATGCACAAGTTGCCTTCCAGCTACCTCATATACGATAAAACCACATACTGGAACTCATTGGAAAGCATTGGCCTGTTGCACGGAAAGGAATCTTGGCCAGGAAAGAAGCTGCTAGTGCACAATATGTGCTTTATTAGCTTAAAATAGTGCATACATAAGTTGGTTTGTTCTGCATCAATAAAGGGGACCAGGAGCAGCAAACAGCTTACTGCAAACATTGTCCAGTAGCCACAATGTTCAACAAACATGCCACTCTGAACGCTGTCCCCTCCCCCCCATGTGGGTAAATGAGACACTACCTGAGGCAAAGATCTCAGGTGGCCTCATTATAGAGATGGCCCTGCTCCCAACCCACTAACATTCGAAGAAGAAGGATTTTTTTTGTATGCACAACTTCTCTTGTTGTCACATTGAGTTGACTTTGGCCTTTCAAGAGTTACATGAAAATGTTTAACTGTGAGAAAAAGTCATCAAGAAACACAGCAGTTCTTTTTTATTTATTTTTTTAAGAGTTTGATTTACAAACTCCAGACCCAAACTAAAACCATTACTCACATCTTCACTTAGGATTATTTTTTTTATATCTAATAAAACATTTTACCTGTTGCTTAGTTACAGCTCCTTTCTTGCATTTGCCTTTCTTTAATCGAGAAATAAAAAATGTTCAGGAATAAGAACTACTTCAAGTTGGGTCCTGAATATGTAAATCAAATCTGTAGTGAGATTTCCTATTAATTTCCTTCAACGCCACACTTTCAATTATCTCACTGCATGTTGGACTTGAACTTATGACTCCTGCTGTAAGTCTTCTTGAGAGATCAGAGTAATTTTGCCACACCAAAGAGACAAAAACTCTGCTGCCTTTTTTCAAAAGACTCATAATGTGCACATTGCATGTGCTTGAACAGAAAAAGGAAACAAATGCTTTATTGTCACAGCAAGCAACTTATGTAATAGCATAATTGTAGGGTTATTTGGGCAGAGGAGCATCTAAAACTAATTGCATCCCCAGTGTCACACCCAGCTCCTGACAACCAGTGACATCAATAGTGAGATGCCGGCCAAAGGGTCCCAGGTTGCTAAGAGCTGGGTAGGGACATATGTGAGGACCATGCACATGTCCCCCCCTGGCTCTTAGCAACCTGGGATGCTCTGGCCAGTGTCTCACCAGCATACACATCTCCCCATCCATCTCTGATTGCTAAGAGCCAGGTGGGGAGATGTGTATGGCCTTTACACATCTCCCTGCCCTGCTCTTAGCAACCTGGAACTGGACGGAACACTGGCCAGAGCGTCCTTGGTTGCTAAGTGCCAGGCAGCAGGATTTGTTTGGGAGAGGAGTGGCAAAAAGTGGGGAAAGTCAGCAAAGTTTCACTGACCCACAGAGTGGTGCCACGGCCCCTCAAGTGGCACCCAGGGCATGTGCCATTTGTGCCATACCCTGGACATGCCACTGCCTTTGGGTTCAAGTCCTGCTGGCTGGCAAATAAGATCCTAAATAGTGCAGAAAAATAAGGGGTGCCCTACAGTGCGTTCACTTTCAGTTTATGATTTAAAACTGAACTCCAGGCAGTGAAACAATGCCACTTTGTAATCATTAATATATCTACAGTATAATGTATGTTTTAAATATCAGTAAAAGTGCCTGAATTTGACTAGTTGAGCTAATCTGTCAGCTGCTGTCCAGTCAAAGGCTGGGTTTACACCTGGGCTATAGGCGTGTTTTTTCAGCTAGTTTTTATCGCGTTTTTTAGCACGTTTTTTTTGTTCAATGAAATGCGCGTTCCACGCTCGTTTTTATACCACCCTGGCGGTATGATTTTTTTCCCCCTTTATTTTCTCTATCTTTTTTTCGTTTTTTTTTTACTTTTCAAACTTCCCGCCGGTTCCGCCCCCCTGCGATGTGGACGCTCGCAAGGGAAGGAACCCAGAAGACAGCAGCGGCCGGAGGACACAGCGAGCATCGCGGACAAGGTAAGACCTACGCTGTATTCCCGAGTGTGGTTCGGGGTTACCTCTTTGTTAAACGCGAGCCACACTCGGGAATACCAATTGATACACGCTGAAATACGCCCCAAAGAAGCTCCTGTACTTGTTTGGGCGTAGGGCATTTTTCAGCGCGTTTCCACGCACTGAAATACGCTCAGGTGGGAACCATGCCCATAGTAAATTATGGGATTTCACTTGCTGAGAGTTTTTCAGCGCTTTGATCAGCGCTGAAAAACGCCCAGGTGTGAACCCAGCCTAAGTGAAAGTAATTCTGCAGAAATGAAAGGTCAAGTCTCCTCTCCTGCCAGACAGAGCTGTATAAATGTCAGGATGGGCTAGACAGAAATACAAATCCTTTTTGTAAATAAAAGAGCCCTATATATGTATTTTATCTTTGTATTTAGCTGTTTGCTTTAAAGTTCAGCTTTAAAATGAGAAGATCGCATAAATAAAAGCAAGGTCCCCTAATAGATCTGGTCAATCTGCATCTTCCAAAACATGAGCAGTGTCACAATTTAAGTAATCTGCTACAGGTACACATTTTCTAAGAAACAAGTTAAAATGTATCAAAACCTGAGAACAAAAAAGTAACATATTGCAGTTTACCAGTCCTTAGATATAATGACTGCATTAATTTTCATTCTTCAAGCTTTGTTTACTTTATTTTCACCTGGTGATATACTTTCTACCCTACAGTGACAACACTCATACTGTACTGTGTCTATGGAGGAGCAGCGTTATCACGTGTGTAGTCCACAGAGATGTCTGGGAACAATGCTAACTGAAAATAGTCAGCAGAGACAGAGAGCACAGAAAGATATCAGCTCACTAGATTTCAGACAAGAATAACATGCTTTTTTACATTTATTGAACACTTGCTTTTAATGGTATATTTAAAGTAATAATGGACGCTCATTTTTTTAAATAATGAATCCAGATCAAACATATATGCATTACTCAGAAAAATATGTCTTTACATTTTTGTCCAAATACTTAGTCATCATGTTTCCAGCTGGCTCCAATTCTCTTAGCTCCGCTTCCCTGAACCTACTGTCCAGTACAAGATCACAATGACAGAGCAGACTCCAGTAGATATTCATCTACTAGCTTCGAGAAGGGAGGGAGGAAGGAGAAGCAGGGAGCAGGGAAGTTGCATGCATTGTTGCAAGTGTTTCTGGACCCAACTTACTAGCATACACAAGGACGGTTCCATAGGACCCTGCAAGGGAAATTAGCCACCCTAAAATAGGATGTCATGGCTCAGAGGACCAGCTGATTCTGCAGGAAGCAAAACATTTTAAAAATCAAGGAGCAGCATCCATTGTAAGTCATTTAATCAGCATATGAAATAGCTAAATACTTTTTGACTTATGCTGAGAGTTTTTCAGCGCTTTGATCAGCGCTGAAAAACGCCCAGGTGTGAACCCAGCCTAAGTGAAAGTAATTCTGCAGAAATGAAAGGTCAAGTCTCCTCTCCTGCCAGACAGAGCTGTATAAATGTCAGGATGGGCTAGACAGAAATACAAATCCTTTTTGTAAATAAAAGAGCCCTATATATGTATTTTATCTTTGTATTTAGCTGTTTGCTTTAAAGTTCAGCTTTAAAATGAGAAGATCGCATAAATAAAAGCAAGGTCCCCTAATAGATCTGGTCAATCTGCATCTTCCAAAACATGAGCAGTGTCACAATTTAAGTAATCTGCTACAGGTACACATTTTCTAAGAAACAAGTTAAAATGTATCAAAACCTGAGAACAAAAAAGTAACATATTGCAGTTTACCAGTCCTTAGATATAATGACTGCATTAATTTTCATTCTTCAAGCTTTGTTTACTTTATTTTCACCTGGTGATATACTTTCTACCCTACAGTGACAACACTCATACTGTACTGTGTCTATGGAGGAGCAGCGTTATCACGTGTGTAGTCCACAGAGATGTCTGGGAACAATGCTAACTGAAAATAGTCAGCAGAGACAGAGAGCACAGAAAGATATCAGCTCACTAGATTTCAGACAAGAATAACATGCTTTTTTACATTTATTGAACACTTGCTTTTAATGGTATATTTAAAGTAATAATGGACGCTCATTTTTTTAAATAATGAATCCAGATCAAACATATATGCATTACTCAGAAAAATATGTCTTTACATTTTTGTCCAAATACTTAGTCATCATGTTTCCAGCTGGCTCCAATTCTCTTAGCTCCGCTTCCCTGAACCTACTGTCCAGTACAAGATCACAATGACAGAGCAGACTCCAGTAGATATTCATCTACTAGCTTCGAGAAGGGAGGGAGGAAGGAGAAGCAGGGAGCAGGGAAGTTGCATGCATTGTTGCAAGTGTTTCTGGACCCAACTTACTAGCATACACAAGGACGGTTCCATAGGACCCTGCAAGGGAAATTAGCCACCCTAAAATAGGATGTCATGGCTCAGAGGACCAGCTGATTCTGCAGGAAGCAAAACATTTTAAAAATCAAGGAGCAGCATCCATTGTAAGTCATTTAATCAGCATATGAAATAGCTAAATACTTTTTGACTTTAATATTTCTTTAATAGACCAAACCGGAGAAAATAAGAGTAGTTCATTATAAGGGTTTACATACAGTTTAAGTGGATTTAAAAGGTAGATTGACCATCACACTGAGGAAGTAGGAGCTTTGCTATGGTTGTAGTTTACTAGGGGCACCCTGGGAAATAGGAAATGGTGCACAAGGTAAAAGGGAAGAAATGGTGCACAAGGTAAAAGGGAAGGACAGTTTTCAGTTCCAAAATATCTTTTCATTTAGAGAGAAACATCCAAACATTGATTTATTTCCCATCAGATCATTTTACCACATGACCCTAGAGCAGAACATATGAGTGACCATGTACTCTGAGATGTGGTTTATTGTGCAATAATGACACTCCATTCTCAGAATTGCTCCTGCAGGTATCTTGATAACATGCAGGAAGTTGTGTCTTGCAATAAAGAGAAATACAATTTAGAAGCTGTTTTTCTTTTTTTTCTATTATTATTCAGTATGTCCAAACATGTAGTGTAGACAAAAAGCATGTTTGACACAATAAAGTAACACCACATTAATGCTATATTTGTATCAAATGTCCCAATTTTCCCTGAGCTAGCAGCGATAATAACAGATAACAATACCATGGCAGAACATAATACATTTTCAGAGAAAGCATTTTCACACCAAATGGATGCATCTTTTTCAATATCCTGGATAGGATATTTTCTAGCTTTGCAGTCTGCCTTTATTTTTTGCACATCATGCTCATCGCAGCAATTTGTCTCATTGGCACTCTCATTATAGGGGTTTTTGGTTGTTCCTAGCTGTGTTTTTTTCTGGGTGATTATCCTCCATTTTAATTACATTGGGTAGCTTTAATTATAGGAGAACAGATTGTTATAGGATGAAAAATAGAGTATAATGGAAATGGAAATGCATTTAGATGTCCCTAGTAAATAAACAGGTTTGGGTATAAGGTGATTTTCAGGACATTAGAGGACAATGTTATACTGATCTAGATAACTTTTCAATAAGAGAGGGTTATTATTTAAGCCTTGAATATCTCTACAATAAAGTTTCAACTGCACTCTGTATGAATCTTCACCAAATTCGAAGGTTTATTTACAATTACCATAACAAATTGTGATATAGGGGCCCATGAATCAGCCTCTTATGCGTTTCACCATCACAACTTAATCATAGAGATCAAGGGGTTATTAACAAAGCTGCCGAAGGCAGCCGAGTGAATAACCCAGTCAAAGTGAAGTGAGCCAAATTAAGTTCGGCTATTCACTTCTGGCTTGTATGGCTGATTTTGGCTGCCTTCGGTCAGCTGAACATGCTCTGCATGTTCGGCTAAGCCGGAGTGCAGAAGGACTTCGACTCAGCCGATCCAACATCTGGATCAGCTGAGTCGAAGCCCAGGCATCTCACTTGCTGCCGTTCGCCTCTATACTCATAGGGGCCGAACGGCAGTGAGTGAATAGTGGCATTTGGCTCAGCTATTCTGCTCGGTACCTCTGTGGTACCGAGCAGAATAGAACATTAATGAAAAGAGTCAGAAAAAAAAAGGTTGAACATTTTTTTAACATGTAAATAAATAGTAAAATTTTAAAATAAAAGATATATAAAAAAATAAAAAAAACAATTGGGCAGAGCTAGCAGTGACAGCAAGCTCCACCCAACTGTTTCCTATTGGAGACTTCTAGCAGGTCCCGGCCAATGAATAACAACTGGGCAGAGCTGGCCGTGATGTCACGACCGGCTCCGCCCAGTTGTTATTGTTTAATGACAGATCAGCATCCCCAGGTCATTTGGGGATGCTGATCTGTCATTAAAACTGGGCGGAGCCAACCATGAGATTACGGCTGGCTCCGCCCAGCTGTCATTTGCGGGGAGAAAGGCCCGTCTTCGGCAGGCCATTCACCCCGCTTTGGCTGTCACTTCGGCTCAGTCGAGCCAAAGCAAATGCCTTCGGCTCGGCCCCCTTCGGCTGCTGTACGGGCTATAATGAATAGCCCGTACAGCAGCCCCTCAGTTCGACTGAACCAAAGGGCTCCCACAACCGAAGCAAGCCGAAGGATTAGCCGAAGCTATGGCTGTATCCTTCAGCATCTTTGTGAATTACCCTTTAAGCTGTGATGGTGAAACGTGTAAGAGGCTGATTAATAGGATGTTATGGTGATTGTAAATAAACCTTTGAATTTGGTGAAGATTTATACAGAGTGCAGTTGAATCTTTAATGTATAGAAAAACAACAACATGCCAGTCATTACTATAACTTGTTTTATAGTAGAAAGCTGTATACATTCTGCAACATTAATGCAACATATCTAAAGGGCAACTCTGTATAGCTTTAGTAAGTTGTTATTGGTGCAAACGTTTTTCTGCATACAAAAAAGTAAATTTTCTCTAAGCCTACCATAAAGAAGAACTTGAGTAAAACCAGCAACTGCTGATTTAGTAAACACAGTCAGGACATAATGGAGTGCAGTAATCAAGTATCAAGTATAGGTCTCAGCATCCCCAACAGAGACCAGTACGGATCTCAGTGTCCCCAGCAGTGACCAGTACATATGTCAGTGGCTATACAGCAGACATAAAAAGGAAATGTATGTTAAAAAGAAGGACAGAGGAATATGGATCCACTCTGTGGGTGTTTGGAAGGAGCTTACTTACTATGGCCTATGAACATCAGCTTGAAGTCCTCCTTTTTGATCAACACCTGGGCCACAGAGACTTTATTAGGATGTATCTGGCTGAAGGTGGCTCGCTCTCTGGTACTTTCTGTGCATGTGAATGCATTCAGCTGCTGGATTACAGCCAGTACCCTGTATTCTGGCTCAGTACCTCCAACAGGGTGGTAAGTGCGCATGCTCAGCACAGCAGTCAGGGCAGAAGAACAGACTGTTCAGTCTGGTCCTGCCAACTAATAATGACCGATTGCCTCAGAAGTTTAAGACTAGCAAAGAGTGTGTGCAGGGTGACATGCACACTGTCTGCCAGTCTAACTGTGACTGCAAACAGTGCACAACATCAGCTGGAGCCTAGGATTCAGTAGAGACATTTGGGACATGAGCTCATGTGCTCTGCACTAATGAAGGGGGCAACCATAGCTGGGATTAATACTACACAAGTTAAGAGCACAACCAACATGCTAAGGCTGCTGCCACCAAGTGACCAAAGAGGCACCACCTAAGGCAAAATTATCAGGTTAAAAGGAGGGTAACAGTGTTTTAACAGAGAGAACACTGTAAAAGAAGGTTATTAAATTGACCGAGACCTATAGTTTTATAAAAATATAAACTTTATTGATTACAAGGTAATATATTCGGTGTCTGTTAGCTCACTTCTCAAATTACTAGTAAAAGAACAACGTTGTTCATGACACTCATACTCCCATTCATTCATACAAACTAAGCGTTCCCACAAACTTGGCAGTGTTTGGTTTCTTGAGAGTTTCCTAAAAAAGGAATTTTCATAATTTTACACCTGTTTCTACTCCATAATTATGTTCCTGCTTAACGATGATGTAAGAGGTGGACGTCGGAGAGGAAGATCTATATTTTCCGATTTACTTCCAAATATAACTCTAGTCAGTCTACGTATTCTTTACCCCGATAATGTGGTTGATATGGGTTACTTATTGGTTTCAGTTAATAAGGAAGTCTCATTTTTCCGATAAAATTCTCAGGTTGCCTCATTGTACAGACTACACTGGTAACAAATATACCAATTTGGCTGCAAAAATATAAATACACTTTAAGCTTAATTTAGCACTTTAATTGTAATTATAAGCATGTATATATTTTTAATTTTTTTTTAAACTACAGAGAAGTTAAAATATTAAACATGTATTTGTTTTTTACCTCATATTAACTTTCTTGAAAAAAGTTGGATTAATAAAAGTTATACAAAGAAAACCATTAGCATATAGAATTATTCTACATTTATGTACTGAGTGATTTATTTTAATGTGCTAAAGTTACAGATGCTGATGACAGAGTGAAACATCTTGAAAAGGAGGCTGATCGATTGCTGGATAAACTAAAACCTATCAAGGAGCTTCAGGAAAACCTGGGTAAAAATATCTCGCAGATCAAAGAGCTGATAAATCAAGCCCGCAGGCAAGCCAATTCTGTAAGTCAATTATGCTATATTCTAAAGTAATGAGGTGTACTAATGCACTACATAAATAATTGCAAATTGGCAACTACAGTACATGCATCACTTTTCTTAACATTGGTGTTGATAAACAGTCGTGCTTGGATTATTTTTTAGCTAATGGAGTCAGGCAAGTCATACAGACATTGTTAAAAATAGAAAACATTGACTAGGCATTGTTTCAACAAACTTAATCAGTTACCATCTTTAATTTACTTTTTATGACCGCTATGTCATTGAATCAGAGGCTATCCATTTAATGTATAAATTATAGTCATAGAAAACATTGACACGCATTGTTTTAACAAACTTAATCAGTTACCATCATTAATTTACTTTTTTCCGTGTATGACCACTATGTCATTAAATCAGAGGCTATCCATTTATTGTATATATTATTATCAATAGAACTTTCACTGGGCACCATATGAACTGTTTCTACTGTTTATGATACCGGAAGAGAAACAACATGCTAATAAATGAATGCCACATTTATAACATGTAGCTGTGGAGGTAAATGTATGTAGCATAGTGGTGCTGCTATGACAGCTACTCAGGATTCCTGTTTAATTTTCCAATGAAGCAAAAGGTGACACCTGGTTGGTTGCTATTAGCACCACAGATCATGAGAATATTTCAGAGGCTCTGGGAGGAGTCCCATTATGATAGACCCAAATTGATTAGAAGGTAGCTCATTAGCTCATGGATAGGCAGATGAAAGAAGCACAATCTCCAATAGGAAGTACTGGGAGCAGCTCAGGGATAGAAAACAGAAGAGCACCAGGCCAGAGGTTAAAGTCCATAAAAGGTTTTATAAATGTGTTGCTCAAACATCCAATGCCTTTCAGGGGCAAACACAAACCCCTTCCTCAGGGCTTGGAAACACTGAGAATGAAGGACTGAAGCTTTTTACAGATTTTTTATGGACTCTAGCATCGTTTTTATCTGGTACTTTTCTTTTTCTGTCCTTAAGTTACACACACACACACACTATAAAGTCTTTAGCTGTCAGTCAAGATTAGGTAGTAAATATGTTTGTTCCTAAAGTGGACCTGAATCAACAGGTGAATTACTGGTGTGTTATAGGGAAATACTAATTATACCTAAACAGTACCCAAAACAAACAAAAAACCTTTCTACCTTGAAATTTCTAAAACAATAGCACTGCACTTCTTGGTATGCGTGGGTTTCTAGACATTCCTGTCCCCACAGCCTCATAGCTATATACAGTATCTGCATAGATCTATGGCACTGCTGCCTTAAAATGCTAGTCTCATGAGATTTGAAGCGAGATTGATAATATCACTATTGATCTGCTTACTGTTCTCCATGCCAAAGGCAATACTGGTGACTAGTCCCTTACTCTACTCCTGCTTTTTTTTTTTAGTACAGCTTCCTGTTTAATCATATACACGACTTGACATTAAAAGAATCCGTGTACTCTCTACTCATATCCATATACCATTTAGCTACAAAGATGCAATACAAGTATGTTTAAACCAAGACTTTAGTCCCTGTTAGATTGCAATCTTCTGACTGATCTAAAGGACCAAAGAACAAAACGGTACAGGATGCAATATAACTTATTCGAAGAGCATAACTGTGGCAAAGCACATAGCTGATATTATGTATGTGTATACATATGAAAACATTTTGTTAAACATTGCAGTCTCTAGAATATTTACATCCTTTTACCCATTTCACCGACGGAACATTGTGCTCTGGAGGCAAAGGTGTTAATAATTATTTTATTATATAAGGAATCATAAATGTCTCATGAAATAAATTATTCAAAATAATTTTTATCTCAAGGGCATTTTACTGTGTCAGAAGTAATGGACCCTCATTTCTCATGGTTTATAATGTCATCAGTCCTTGTAAATTATATTATTTCCAGTTATTTATATCCTCGTCTCTCTCAGCCCACATGCTGGCTGCAAATATGTCTTGAAGACATTCTTCCCCCCTTCCATTTAAAATATAGTTTATATTATAATAATTCTGACCAACCGCAGTCACATGTTCCTTACATGTAATATTTCTTATTTTAATTTGCTATTTAAGGCGAACCAATTAATGTTCACATATGAAGTATAATGTACTCAATTTACACCTGTATCACAGATGCAATCAATAACACACCCACGTTAACAATCTATAGCACACAATTTATAAATTGGTACTTCACCATTGGTAAAGAATTTATATTCCATGTATAATTGCTAGCCAATCCTTTTTTTGTAATTCAGTGTACGTGGAATTACCTTTCTACTTCGATCTACATCCAACTATGTTTTTTTTTTAAACTGGCATAGAAATTGTAATCTGTTGATGTACAGAACTCCCCCAGAAAGTGTATTTGCTGCACGTGTGACTGTCTCATCAATATACCCACCTGATTTGCTCTTAAAAATGTGCTGAAACTGGTCATGTGTCTGTAGCAGAAGACCCTCCAACTCAGAACCCAGGAAGTAAAAAAAGTTCTTGACAGGAAGTTTTGGGAGGGAGGTATGTGCAGACATCTAGGTGCCTGCAATTTATACCTGCAACCGTTTTTATAGCAGTTTTTAGACAACAGATCCTCATTACAAATTATATTCTTCTCAATATATAACATATATATAACAAAATAATTATTGGAAGAAACAGTGCTAGTAATAGGAACAACAGGGTGCTTGTTAAAAACATGGCTGTAATCAGATCTAAGGTGTGTGCTGCAGTGAAGTTAACAAGATCTGCTGTAACTCTAGGGAGAAATATTGTAGGAAATTGAGTGTGAAGATCCACATTATGTCATAGTGCAAAGGTTGAGGACCACAGCCTTATGTTGTTAATCTGTTCAGCATTTTCTGTTCAACATTTTCATACATATAATTTTCACTGGGCATCTGCCTTGATTAATTATCCCTATTGTGTATAAAACAGCCTGGAGCCATAAATCTCACTGTAATATAATAGAAAAAAATTCCGTAAGCAAACAGCAGACTAGGGTAGGAAAATAGCTCAATCCAGTCTTGTTTTTTAAAGTGCCACAGCTTTTATAAAAATGTAAATTTGCTTTATAGGTGAAAATGTCACAATTACAAATGCATTTTGCAATGACCACTCAGTGAGTACGAATTATTTAAATTATCTCATAATATGCCATTCATTGGTAAATACCTTTTCTTGAAATTCCAGTACACCATTTTATTTGCAATATCATTTTAAATAGTACTTTTATAAAGCCTAAGAATGCCTTACTTCCTTCTACAGAAAAATTGTGCTTTCCACTTGCAGTATGTTAATCATAACTCTCAATAATTATCTCTGACAGTTGGGTCCTCCTAGATGAGACCCATTAATGACCCTGCCTTCTCCTGGCATCACTGAGCTCTTCCCATGCTCTCAGTCTAAGCCTAGAGCACAAATATTATTACAGAATTACATCTTCTGTCATTCAATTTCTCTCCCTCTGCCCTACTCTTTCTCTGGTGCCTGTTAGTATAAGCCTGTTTCAGTTGTTAAAAGCTGAAGTGATATATTTATGTTCCTGATCTTTCTGAAAAGGACATTTGTGTTTTCCTACACTTTTTTAGAGCAAGCAAATTATGGCAGTAAGCCACTTTCACTGAGGTGGAAAGACAGGGGGGTCTTGTAAAACATCTAAAAACACAAAAAGAGGGACCAATCGCCTATCCATAGGTAATATATTTTTATTAACTGGATATAATAATATAATATTACAAAAGCAGAAAATGGTTTCCCCTAAATAAAAAGGCATCAGTTGTACCTTTATAGCATTTTGTTAGCAATTGGCCTTTTCACCCAGCAGCTGCCTCCCACAGCAGAGAAAGCAAGAGAGAGCTCACATATATAAAGTCAGCTGAGACTAAAAGTAAGGCCTGGCTACCAGGTAAGATGTGAACCTTGGAATGAGGGCGTTTTTGCACCCAATGCACTACAAAGATTCGGGGCTCCAGGATCCAAAACAGAAAACACATGCTTCAGTCATACACCCTGAAGCCTATCATTATATGTATGTGAGAAACGTAGGTGACACATGCATACCATCCACAATCCGGCCAGGCAGTGCCTCACAATAAATGTAACATACTAATATGTTAAGAACACGACAACATACAAACTAGAACAATTACATTTTTACATCAGTTCTATGAAAACTACCTCTAAACATTCAAATCTTATGTATTGTGTTTTCTTTACAAAGTTCTTCCCCTAAGCTAAGGTGTCAGCTAAGCATTTGAAAGAACTACATCAGGGAAAACTAAAATCTTAAACAAGCTTCTGTATTACAATAGATTCTCTTTGATGTCATCTGATGTCTGCCTCATAAAATACAATGTGGGTGTCTCGGGACACAGCCTTAAGTTATAGCAAAAAGCAAGCAAGGCACATTTATTAACATAGTCTCTCTGCAAGGGTGCCACTTCAAACCACCTTCCAGGCTTCTGAATATGATTTAAGTGGCATAAAGGAGAAACCCCTAAATTTATCACCAATCTTTGAAAAAAAATGCTCGAAATGAACCTCTTTGATCAATATTCTTTCAACTAAAAGATGTAATTATAAAGGTTTCCCAAGTGTGTGAGTGACAATTAATTTACTTCTTGTCAAAGTTGTACTAAATTTTAAAAATAAATTTAAAAGTATGTCATATTAGTGCATTACATTGACACTAACTTTGCTGTCCTTACTGTCTTGTTTGCACTTGCAGATCAAAGTTTCAGTGTCTTCAGGAGGGGACTGCATTCGTACTTATAAACCTGACATCAAGAAAGGCAGATACAATACCATTATTCTTAATGTGAAAACAGATACACCTGATAACCTATTATTTTACCTTGGAAGCAATAAATTTGTAAGTATTCTTTCATATGCAGACTTGCCTTTTATCTCTACAATTGTCTTTTATCTCTGCTATTTTGCATCAAAATTGTACCATTTCTACTTGACATTTCTACTTTTCAAGTCCATTTATTTTAGAAGATAGTGAAAAGCCAGACCACATAGGAAGTATTGAAAGGTTGGTTAGGTCAGAAAAACCGAAGGGTTTCACAATAAAAAGCAAATTGAGGATTAACTTAAGTCTAACTTTGGCCCATTAGGCAATCATAGTTAAGTGTCCCATTCTTACTGCAGTACCAGTATCCATCTTTAAAGTAACAGCTAATTACTGGGTGTAGTAATCGGTGGATCTAGAAGAGGCCACTGTTGAGTCTGTAGGACTAAAGGGGGCAATAAACAGGGCAAATAAAGAAATTATCTCTGTGAGTGGTCCTGCTGTTAAGTGTCCCATTCTTACTGCAGTACCAATATCCATCTTCATAGAGTAATAGCTGATTACTGGGTGTAGTCATTGGTGGATCTAGAAGGCGCCTTTGTTGAGTCTGTAGGACTAAAGATGGCCAAAAACAGGGCAAATAAAGAAATTAGCTCTGTGAGTGGCCCTGCTGGCAGCCTCCAACAACCTTTAATCTGAAAATGGAAGGAGCCAGGTGGAAAATTGTCAGCCAAACAGGTACTACAGCAACTCATCTACATAATATTTATATAACTGCTTAGACTTACAATTACATTTTTTATGTGAAAGTGGAAGCCTTTTCGTAAAAGATAAGTGTAGGTGTCCAAATGGGTTCTAAAAGGTTTGTTGTTGACAGAAAAAAAGGTAGATTTACTGAAGTAAATATTTATCGTGCATGTTTATTCAGCATGGTAAATTAGGTGTAGCTGTGGTAATTTAATTCATCCAATCATGTGCTAGAAAAAAATTCAGCTTTTTTCAGTTTCCCTTTATTATGATTGGGTATGCAAAGTTGTTCACTATATCCACATTTCAAAAAGCTTTGTAAACATACATTTTCAAAGGTGAATATGTGCTTTAGTGAAGCATAGCAAAAACAGGAAACTATTTTTGCGAGAGTTTTCTAGCAGAAACAAGCTTGCAGCACATATTGAGAAGATGTAGGCACATTCTAGAAAGATGCTTGTATGGAGATTCACTTCTTCAGGAACATACTTCTTCTAAAGAAGTAGCTTCTGCATGGAGCTGCATACACTGAGATTCTTTCGCTTCTCTCTTTGGTTACATTCATTGCTTTATATCACTTACAGTCATTTTCTTGTAGATGTTTCTTTTCCATATCGTAAAACCTTTTGCTATTTCACCTTGAAATAAGCACCAAAAGCTTTTAAACAGCAGTATTTTAGAGCTCTACCTAGGATGTCAGTAGAAATTTATTGGTCTTTATGGTTTTTCTGTGTCTATATATGTGTGTCTGTTTGTATATTTTGTAATGGATTGAACATAATAAAATTGTACTGCCTACCACTTCAGGTTATATTTGGGATGTTTGTGTTCTAAAATAGTAATAAACATAAATGTATGAGAAATAAAGGCCAACAGGACTTTAATAATCATTTTAAGTAATAAACTAATGATTAATTTCACATTATATATTTATGTATCTGAATTGAACATTTTGATGAGAAAATTATGTGAGATATAGGGGGTGATTTACTAACCTAAACACACGCACGCACTAGGTGCGTGTGATTTTTACACAGCAAAACGTATTTATCAACCAAAAAGTCTCTAAAAGCATATTTCCACTAATGCCATATATGGAAAAATCATGCACATGATGCATATATAATGCTGCTTCACAGTTTAGACAAAAATGGTTAGCTCATGCATTTACATTCCTGCATTCATCAACGCAAGTAACACAACATAGAGCTAATTTACACAACATCACCTTGCAAATTCATGCAGTGCTTTGCACAACACACCTGCTGGGTGTGTACACACTACAAAGGTGTTTAGATTCCACCCATAGATCATGGAACACACTACAGAGGTGTATACATGTTCGTGGTGTGTTTATAAGGTTAGTAAATCAACCCCATAGTATCAAATAAAGTTAAAAGAAGGTATACATCTTATGCTGCATTTATGAGTGCACAGCATATCATATATGATGAACTTGTCCTAAAGTATGGACATTTCGGAAGAGACTATACAACTTTTTATGCTACCTCACTCAAATAAACTTTAGCAAATCCCTGTCTGAAGCACTATGAAACCGATCTATCAGGAATATGCCTAAACACCCAGAAGACTGATTGCTTTCATTTTTATATGAGCTAGAAACCGCTGTTGTGAGATCTTGGAAGACTCCTTCCACCCTTTTTAAATTAGTCAAAGCCAAACTCTCCAGGATAATGATCAATGAAAAATTATCTGATATGTTGAATGAAAGGATAGTTTGGATGAAGGATTAAGTCTCTGGCAGTGTGTGGGATCCCTGCATACAATACCTCTCTAGAGCCTTCAGGCATGAGTAGGCATATGATCATGTGGGACAAAAACACATTTTTGTGGAAGCATTGATTGGTTAACTTACCTATATATTTTCTTCATGTCCTGCATTCTTGTTCAATATGATTAAAGTGTCATATCACATGTCCATTCTTTATACACAGGAGGGCTAGAGCATCTTACCCTTGACGCCTCTTCACTTCCAACCCTCTTTATTCAAGAAACATGACCCCTGAGACAGACAGAATTACAGAATATCATAAACGTAAAATGAACCACACGCTATCTGTTTAAAAAGTCTTTGATGAAGCAGCATGCAACCATTTTGTAATTTACATAGGCAAAGTCATTCTTACCTTGTGGTTGAAAAGTTTCATAAAATTCAATGAAAGAGAAAAGAACTTGTAAATCTTAGTGAATTGACCCTTATGCAGATAGTGCCATTACTTGCAATTCAAACCAAGGCATCAACATAATATAAGAATGCTAACCACTGTGCTGCCTGTTAGGTACCAGTCAATCATCAACCCACTCCAAGAAAAAAATATGGTTCTAAAGATAACACATAAAAAAGAAACCTTTTAACCTCTACAATTTATTTTAGATAATAACAAGCATATGTCACTAGCGTTGATTAATGTAATGCAGTATACTTTACTACCATATAAGTGATGGTTAAATACCGGCTTACTTATAAAATATTACTTTTATAAGTGACATTTGACATTTAATATTGCAAGACAATTTCTATATATTGTACATTATTAGGATACTATACAACCAGGTTTCCTGAGAATTGTCACTGAGAACTGAAAATACATCCTTCTACTGATTTAATGATTTCTTCCTTTGCTCATTTTAGACTGACTTCTTAGCCATCGAGATGAGGAAAGGGAAAGTCAACTTTCTGTGGGATGTGGGATCAGGAGTTGGGAGAGTTGAATATCCTGACCTCAATATTAATGATCAACACTGGTACAGAGTTGAAGCTTCCCGGTAAGTATTAAAACAGCTGACAAAAAAAAGGATTTTGATTTTTTTATTTTACTTTTTTTACTATGCCTAACTATTATGGGGCTTTAATCAGAGGCATAGGTTTGTGAAAAACCTGGAACACCATGGGTGGGCGTCCCTTGCCTTGGGAGTGGCTTAAATGGTTAAATAGAATCCATGTCTTCTCACTGCACACATATTCCTCAGTACACACAAAATACTCCTTAAACACTGTGCCACAAGTGAGAATCTCACAGATAAAAAAAACCACAGGACTCAGGACTATTATTAAAAAAAACAAAAAACTTTTCCATTACAAATCTTTTCAGCACACAGAATATAGACAGAGGTCTAACAATTTGTTTGATCCTACCTTAAGGAAGAATTTCATTAAAACAACTTGGTAAAGGAGAGTGTAATGTGCAACAAAGTGTATAGAGTGCAGCAACCAGGACTATGCAATGTACAACATCGTGTATAGACTGAAGCAGTCAGAATTGGGAAAAGACAGCGCAGAGTACAGAATGAGATGGTGTGGAAAAGGGAACACACAGTGCAGATTATAGAATGAGGTGATGTGGAATAGTGAATGTACAGTGCAGAGTACAGAGTGATAGGGCATGGAATAATGATAGAATGTACAGTCCAGAGTACAGAATGAGGTGGCATAGAATACGGAATATACAATGCAGCATACAGAATGAGGCAGTGTGCTGAAGGAAATGTACAACACCGTGTTTAGAATGAGGCAGTGTGGTATAGAAAATGCACAGCAAAGAGTATAGAACAAGGCAGTTTAGAATAGGAAATATACCATGCAGCATAGAGAATGAAGCAGTGTGAAATAGGGAGCGTACAGTGCAGTACACAAAATGAGACAATAGGGAACGTACACCATAGCATTAAGAAGAAGGCTGTGTGGAATAAGGAATGTGGAGTTCAGTGTACAGAATGAGTGGTGGTGGTGTGGAATAGGAACTGTACAGTAAGGGCTGCTGATAGGAGATGCACAGCCAGCCCTCCGGTCCTATGTCTAGGACCCATCGGGTCAGTAGGGGGCCTGTGTTCAGTTTAAAAGCAGGATGAGCCCTGTACATAGCACAGGGTAGGCAGGGCTTGCCCAGGGTCCTCCCCATCTGCTGTCACAGCATCCCATGTTCACCTAACTCACTGTCTGTCCTCACAGGAAGGTACAGTGTAGAGTACAGAATAAGGTGTTGTAGAATAGGGAATGTACAACACAGCATACAGAATGAGGCAGAAGCAATAGGGATTGTACAGTGCAGCATATAGAATGAGGTGGTGTGTACAGAAAATGCACAGTCCAGAGTAATAAACAAGGCGGTGTGGAATAGGGAACCTATAGCCCAATGTAACGCGCATGCATTGGTGGAAATGACCCCTTATTAGTAAAATACACTTTACTACAGACATTTTTGAGATAAGATCCAACTCTATTTCTTTTTTTTTAAACTTACATGCAAATTCAGAAACTGCCTTCCCTACTCCACACACCACACCCTCCAGCCTCAGAATTGTAGACAGGGTCCAGAGGCCATTTTTTTTGCCCAGATGGCCATGCCAGACCTCCACCAGTATGTGCAGTGGTAATGTCTCTATTTCACTGAACCACACTATCAGAGTCCACATGAAAAAAGACATGTGATTTAGCATTGCCAGAAACAATATATCACCCCTACATGTACTTGGGTACTAGTTTGCCCTGCTGCAGTGGGGGAAATTTGTGACTGAGGAGTTTGGCTGAAGGCATGAGGTGCTTTGAGTGCAGACTTTTATGGGGGGTGGTTTTCAAAGGATGCAGTGAGGTGCTGAGACATTAAATGCAGCTCTGGAACAAACTGACCGAAGTGGTGAAGCCACAGTGACAAATATGGTACAGACTTACTCCACAGTATGTACGCACTTTTCCAGAGCTGCAATTTTCAAGGAAGAAGCTATTCTTTACAGGTTTTTTGTTTAAGAAATTAAGAATAAAGTCTATTGCTATAGTTAAAAATCCAGACAAAATCCAGGGAGACAAAAGACAGGTTTATAATCAAGAAATCCAATTTACAGTTTTATTTCACAGGAAAAAAAAGCCAGAAATATATTGCCTCCAAACACTGTATGTGGGCACTTTTACTAGGCTGCAGTTTGAGTGGGAGTCAGCAGGCAAGTTTTAAACAGGAAATCCAAATTAGTGTTTTACTTCAAAGAAAAAAGAGCAGGCAAGTGTTCTTAACCATCTCCCATCCATTGGCCGAGTAGATACGCCCAATTGCTTGTATTAGGTGCAGGTGTGTGCCCCCCTGGCCATTGCTTTTCACTCCCCTGGCCATCGCTGGTCTCGACATCCGTTTTGCCCACTGTGGCCGGGACCGGCACGGCAGCTCTTTCGTCAGAGATAAAAGGGAGTTCAGTGTACGATCTTCCTCTAATCTCCTTTCCAGTCCCCAAATGCAGGAAGTGATGTATACTACATCACTTCCGCATTCAGCTGTCATTCCAGGCTACAGAAGCCAGAGAGAAGCTGGTGAAGACGAAACTAAAACGACTATTGTGCCGCACATGTTACATATAACCGTGAATGTTACATATCATCATGAATGTTGGAGTGAGAGTAATAATTTTAGGCCCAATAATCACTGATCACATTAAACTGATGAGCGGTAAAAGCTTTTAAAGCATTGCCCATGGCCAATTTTGGGTGTAGTCATTTTTGGGGATTTTCCGGGCGCATACAATTTTAAGGCTTGACATGTTTGGTGTCTATTTACCCAACCTGACACTGTCTTTTATATTTTATTATTTTTCAATTATTTTTTTGGGTGTAATATTAAATGTTTCATAACATTTCATAGGGAAACAGTTTTTGTTTCAAAATTTATGGTACTTTTTTGTTATATAGTAAAAAATAAAAACCCCAGTGGTGATTAAATACCCCCAAAAGAAAGCTCTATCTGCCCCCAAAAATGGTATAAAATTAATTTCAGTACAGCGTTGTATGACTGAATAAATGTCAAATTGAATACTGAAAAATGGCCCGGACAGGAAGGGGGTTTAACACCCTGGTTAAAAAACATTTAAATTGAAGTGTATTATTTTACAGAAAAAAGACAAAAATATTGTACAGGCTCAATTCATACAATATAAGCAACTTTAGTGGGGCATGGTTTGAGAGAGGGACCAGGGAGGATTTAAGCAATAAATCAAAATGATATTAGTTATAATTATATAAATTAGAATTGTATTTTTTCACAGAGAAAAAGACGTACATATTGTACTGTCATCTAACTTTGTGAATAGCAGTGTATACATTTCTTAACCGAGTCAACCTTTGCAATACAAAGACCATAGTTAATTAGGTTAAGAGTAATTCAGTTCACACAAATGCTAGACATGAAGTGAAAATAAAAAGTGTTTTTGTACAGACTCAATTCATACATTATAAGCATCTTTAGTAGGGCATGGTTTGAGAGAGGGACCAGGGAGAATTTAAGCATTAAATCAAAATTATATTAGTTATAATTATATAAATTAGAATTGTATTTTTTCACAGAGAAAAAGACGTACATATACTGTCATCTAACTTTGTGAATAGCAGTGTATAAATTTCTTAAGCGAGTCAACCTTTGCATTACAAAGACCATAGTTAATTAGGTTAAGAGTAAGTCAGTTCACACAAATGACAGATATGAAGTGAAAATACAATTTTTCCCTATTATTTTTGTTAGACTGATATTGAACTGGTGTAATTTACTGTAAGAATAACTGTGTAATGATTTCGTTATTTCTTCATATTTATAGCCTACTCTGGAAGAATATTATATCAGGCTTGGAAATTTCAGTTCTGTAAATATATCTCTTCCCTTTATCTTTCATTTGAGTCGTCACAGTCATGGGGAAAAATTGATTACTGCTATAATCATCCTCATATACAGGAAAGGCATTGCTGTTAGGATAAATTTACAGAAAGCTGAGTTTCATATTAAGATGTCTAATAGGTTTATTTCTTATGCATTTGATCATCACTCAAACCACAAGTGCAGTTTTTTTTTTGTCTTCACCATCTATTTAATGGTATGTTATTACACTTGCTGTACATTTGCATCAAACCTCTTAGCTACAAATGTTTATATGGCCTTTTTATCATTTCCATATGCCTTAGATATCCTAAAATAAATTGTAGTAATTTATGTGTTATAAAAAACACAAAAGTAGTAGATTTTTCTATTCCTTAACTAAGTGGGATTTATCAGATATATTCCCAAACGATAATGGTTGTAAAGGAATATTTTACAACTAAATCAAGTTCTGTATATTAGCATTTTTTTATAGTATAAAGGGTAGAAACTTGTCATCTTTCTGGGCATGAGGAGCAGTTCTATGAAGCTGTGAACACATTAAACATTTATTTGTGTGCAAAAATATATGCATTAGAGAATCGGACCCATTGCTTTTCTCTCTGTGGCAGCTCACCACTTTGGAGGATCTCAAGGTTTTTTAGATTGCAGTCAAGGAGGGCAAGAGGTAACAATGGAATCGAGTCTTTAAAAGAAATCTTTGCTAAGGGTTTGATAAAGAAATAGACCAAACAAGAAAAAATGGGTTCTAATGCCCATCCAATACTAGCATTAGAGCAATGTTGAACTAGCACTGTCTAAAGCTTAAAATTGCATCACAATATAGAATAAAGCCCACAGCTGGTGCTAAACAAGTTAATGCCAAAGTCTACCTCATATTACCTAAGCTACATTAGATTTTTTAGGGTCTGCTAAAATGTCTAAATCTGTGTTGTATCTGAGTTGATACAGAAGATTTGATTGGCTTGTATAATTATAGCTGGTAAGAAATGCTAGGTCTGGGTTGGATTTGAGATCCTTCAGAACATTTGACTGACTCGTATAATTACAGCTGGTAAAAAAAATCTTGAAAGAAACAGACATGGAAAATATTATTTCATCTAAATTGTTTTTCCTGATTTTGTTAACCGTTATCTTACACTTTGGGGGTAATGTGTTCTGTATTGCAGGTCAGGAATTAATGGAACCATTTCAGTGTCAGCACTTGAAGGACCTAAAGCCAGTACTGCTCCTAGTATATACAGCTCCACCGCACAGCCTGGTTATACCATTCTGGATGTTGATGCAAACGCTTATCTCTTTGTTGGTGGATTGACCGGAAAAATAAAGGTAACACAAATAAAGAACCATTCATGGTGACCATAACTTACATGGTGAATATTGCAATAAGAGATTTATATTTGAATGTAATGTAAGTTTATTTACATGTGTCACACTTAATTGCAGGTGAAACAGTTTTCAGAAATATTTTTAATAAAATCCATTTCTTATTCTAAGTAGTTATACTTTCCCTTCCTCCCCTCTCTTTTCCTGTGACCTCTTTCTTACAGAGAACTTTGTAAACACAGATGACCAGTCTAGACCAAGAGGGTTATTCACAAAGCTGCTGAAGGCAGCCGAGTGAGTAACCCACCCAAAGTGAAGTGAGCCGAACGCTGTTCGGTTATTCACCTGGGGCTTGTACAGCTGATTTCAGCCGTACATCGGCTGAAATCAGGCGTACATTGGCTGGCTTCAGCTGGTTTTCGGTTCAGCCGAACATGCTCAGCATGTTCGACTGAGCTGAAGTGAAAAACACGTTCAACTCAGCTGATCCAATATTTAGATGAGCTGAGCCGAACGTCCAGAGGGCTACTCGCTGCCGTTCGGCCTATTCTCATAGGGGCCGAACGGCAGTGAGTGAATAGCCAATTGCCGCAGAGCGGCATTCGGCTTGGCTATTCTGCTAGGTTCCTCCGTGGTAATGAGCAGAATAGAAAATCAGTGCAAAAAGTTGAAAAATTGTTTAAAAATGTAAATAAATTATGAATTTAAAAAAAATAAAGGATTTCTTTAAAAAAAGAATATATATATATAGTTTTAAAAATTGGGCGGAGCTAGCAGTGACAGCTAGCTCTGGTCAACTGTTTCCTATTAGCCGGGACCTGCTAGTGTCTTCGAGCAGGTCCTGGCCAATAAATAACAACTGGGCGGATTCCGGTTGTGATGTCACAGCTGGCTCTGCCCAGTTGTCATTGTTTAATGACAGTTCAGCACCCCCAGGTAACCTGGGGACACTGATCTGTCATTGCAACTGGGCGGGGCCAGCCTTGAGATGATGGCTGGCTCCGCCAGCTATTAGTTGCAAGGCTTTTGGCCGGCCAGTCGCTTGGCCAGCTTCGGGTCTCACTTCGGCTCAGTCGCTTAGTTATCTTCGGGAGCTGTACGGGCTATAGTGAATAGCCCGAACAGCAGCCCTTCAGTTCTACTGAACCGAAGGGCTCCGGTGGCCGAAGCTAGCCGAAGGATCTGCCGCAGCTATGGCTGATCCTTCGGCTAGCTTTGTGACTAACCCTCCAAGAGTTCTCAAACTTTTGAAACAAAAGTCCACTTTCCTTCAGACTTTTGGTAACCAGAATGGTCATTGGGAGTTAAAAATGCCCCATCATTAGTAATCAGTAGGGTAAATGATTCCCCTGGTCTAGTAGTAAGTTGGAGTAAAACATGACCCAAGGTTGGTAGTGAGTGGGAGTGAAAAACAAGCTACTCATAAGATATATACAGTACTGGCCATTACTACATCTTTTAAATGTAAGAGGTAATCAAATATAAATGTAGTACTATATAAATACAGAATACAATAAAATACTCATTCATGAAATTTCTTGTTAAATGTGTTAACATACATGTGCCCATGGACCTTATAACCCCTCACAAACCAAAAAACTACCATTACATTGGAGCCGCTCCAGCACTGCAAGGGATAAGTACTTATTTATGCCTAAGAGACAGGAACAAGCTATTTTATTCCGCTGATCCCCACTCCTGCTGGTTCCCTCTGGGCTGCTAAACTGGTCCCCATAGCGTCTTCACTCTATTGGTCTAAGGAGCACTGGCGCCATCACTTCCAATGCAGTTACCAATGACTTGCATTAGGATTAAGATGCCAAGGGACATTCCACCAGCCAGAATGGAGTGGAGAAAGAGTGCTGACCACTGGGGGAGCAGAGATCAGGTAATTAAAAGTGCTTTACTCCGGTCCCTGCATAAGCAAGCACCTATCCCTTGCAGTGCTGGGGTAGCCCCACTGCATGGGTAGTTTTGTTGGCTTGCCCAGAGATAGGCTTTAATATATTGGTCCTAGCCAAACTAATTCATATGCTGACATTTTTACTTGGCAACTCCTAACAATATTTTTTTTTTCCAGAATAAATTTTTATTTGTGTCATTTCACATACAATTCCATAAATTACATAATGATATCGTTAACCTCTACATATATGGCTATTTCATATCTAAAATTTCTTAATTTATTCTTAATTACAGGTCAAAAATATATCATTACAGATGAAAAAATACTAGTACTTGTGATTAATTGAATAATAAACTAACCTTTCATCATTACTTATCTAGCCATAAAAAGAGAATTTCTTGCCACTAGTGGATACAAATACTTACTATTGCAGATGGCTTTTCATCACTACAGTGCAACTGATGGCTACACACCTTCATTGTACCCTATTAAACCTGAGGTTTAATCTGGTCATATTTTGCCTTCCCTTGTCCCGTGTCCCTCTTACCCTGTGTCCCTCTTACCCCCCACCACAACCTATTAACATGCTAATAAGGTTTATAGATAAAACCTTTATGTTTTCATTACGTAACTTATTTTAGACCCAGTGATATTATGACTGGGGTCTGTGCTTCTCTATGCAAAGCAGGTGGATCATGGCTGGTTAGAGGACCTGGAAAAGAGCTGTACATAGGTACTTCTCTCAAGAACCCTCAGCTTTTATGAAAGCAGTGGGTTGGCTCTTTGGAGTTATGTAAATATTAAACTGCTTTGATGGGTGGATGTCAGTCTAGTGGAATGGGATTTAAAAGGCAAATTGCATTTGCAAGTAGACTTTCCAAGTAATGCCCACATGTAATGCTGAGCCTCCGTGATCGAAAAAAACTGAAATCCAATGAATGGAAAGGGATAGGCTCTATTTGATTCCGCTGCAGCTTCTAATGCACATTGTGAGAAAGTCACAGAGGGGAATTTATCAAAACTGGAGCAGACACAATCGGAGGCAGCTGTGCATGGCAACCAATCACCTTCTCTCTTTCATTTTCAAATCTGTTCAGTGAAATCAGAGTAAGCAATTTCAGTATAGGATAGGAGCCTCTACAAATGCGCAAGACTTAAGATAAGACTGGGGTTCAACTTTAATATTCAACAAGATATGGTTTAGATGCAATTAAAGTCTGGAAGCCTCTAACTTCCCAGCTTCCTGTTCTTACATGAATCTGCCACTGTAGAGTCACCTCTGCTTGCCTATTTTTTTCTTCCCTTCTATTTCCCTTCTATTTCCTGAACCTCTTGCGTGTGATCTTCCAGAAATTTTAATGCCTCTTATTCTATATTTGCTAAATATGTATTTTTTTGAAATTCAAAGTTATTTGTTAGCAGTTAGGTTCAAATAAGGGAACACCTTGTCATCTTGCCTGCCAAATGGTAATATGCCTAGAAATATTAATTCTGTTTCCTCAGTCAGCTAACTCTGACATTATATTTGAATACAAGACAAATATACTATGCACTTGTTTGATTGTGATGTATGTTTGATGTAGGGTAATGTTTGATTGTGAAACCAGATCAATCAATGTGTTGTCACTACTACATTTTTGCTGAACTGAAAATAAAAAAAAGAAAGGAAGAAAAGAATATACAGCTATGCCTTTCACTGGAAAACAAACCCTGTTTAACCTCAAGGTGGTTTATTCTATATGAAGGCTTGATAAAAAAATAATAGGGAGCTTTGTTTTCAACGTAAATTAGAAACTGTTGAATAGTAGAGGCAGATGGCAGGCTAATTAGCTACATCTAAGAACATTCTGTGAATGTACTGACATTTGGCTTTTCACGTTGCTGACAATTTGTCAATCTGAGGGCACAGCGTGGAAAGCAAATTGTATTTGTGTTATTTTGTTTAGATATCTGTTTATGATATTAATTTTGTCTGCCATCTACAGCAATTAATTACTTAAGAATACAACTGGTCATAATGTCCTTGCATGAAAAACATTCAGAGCAAGTGCAATAACCAATAATATATAATAAAATATGCTTAGATACTGCAAGCCACTAACAGATAAGCTGATCTTCACAAGGTCAATCAAGTAAAATGGGCAATACCATACCAAGACAATGGCATTTGCAAAAATGTTAGTTTAGAACTTCAGTCTTAAACATTCTTTTTTTTACTGTCTTGGTTTCTTAAACTGGAACAACTAAATAAGATTAAGGGTAGAGTTATGGTTTTTTTTCTTCACACATATTATTCTTCATTCACACACAATATAGCTATTAAAAATTATAGCTAAAACCATCAGGACCCTATAAACAGTAACAGGGTTATTCACAAAAGGGTGAAGAGTTTGGAGAAGGCAGGAGAAGTGAACAATCTAGGACAACATAGCTGATCTGGAAACTGAGCCTAATTGGAGAATTTTTCCAAATCCGCTATTTTAGCCTAGATTTTTCACTTCTCCGCCTTCTCCAAACTCTTCAACCTTTAGTGAATAGCCGTGTAAGTGTTTTCAGAGGAAGAGTTGTTCCTTTCTAGAACTTTATTTGGACTTACGTGCTCAATTCTATTAGAACTAGTGCTTATTAGAGTGTTTGGCTGATAATAGATTTTTTTGCCTAATATTGATTGTGCCTGTTATCATTGCTGTAACCATGATCTCTCTGACCCTGAGGGTGCTTTCAGATGGGTATAAAGAGCCTCGTTCTCTTGGACAGACTTTCATAGCCCTCAGCAGCTGTCTGTGACCTCTTTCCATTTCTATGATACATAGAAGTTACTGCTATGTGTGTGTATGTATGTATGTATGTATGTAGGTGTGTGTATATATGTATATAAATATATAAATTAACTAGGTAATTGGGAAAAGGTTACACATCATGTACATACTCATTATAGAATTAACTTTATGTAGAGTAATGATGGGAATGTTATTAACTATACCGTAGAATCTTATAACATTAAAGACGTTGCTTGGCTAGTACTGGGGTTTTCTCTGCAAAAAAGATATTGTAAGTGAAAGCTATAAAATCTTGCACTAGTAGTTTGTTGATACAGCTTCAAGAGCTTACAGGATTTTGTTGAATAAGGATGTGATGTGTGTTTTCTATGTATGCACTAGAGTTAGTACGTAATAGTGACAGCATGTTGTCTCTGCTTAGTATTATTAATTGTAACCTGTCTGATCTTTTCAGAAGGCAGATGCAGTAAAAACAACAACATTCTCTGGTTGTATGGGAGAAACGTTTCTTGATAATAAGCCAATAGGATTGTGGAACTATAGGGACCGAGAAGGCGACTGCAAAGGATGCTCAATTAGGTAAAAAAGATTACGCTTTTACGACACGTATGTTTTTTTTTCCATGGTCATTAAACTAAATTCTTTCACACTTTTTGGGTTTATTTAACTATTGTAAAAAAAAATAGGTGTTTGCTAACCCAGCACAAGAAAGGTTATTGGAATATTTCTTATATTTGCTGACATATGCAATTGTGCATTGCTTTTTGTTCCACTTTGCTCATTCATAAGGCAGTAACTGTTTAAGAAAAATATAAAGCCCAAATCCAGCCACTATTTTGTTTTGTTATGGACAGGGTTGGAAAAGGGTATGACTTTTATCAAGCTTTAATTGCAGTCTGTGGCACTGCTGGGGAGGTCTCCCTTTGTTTTATATTACTGGGATAAAATGTGAGGAAAAATCTCTACAACAGAAAGATGAGCAACAACAAAACACTTGATAGAAGAGAGTAGAAGGTTTAGAACTTCAGCCAGTTTCTTATTGATATCTATTGCCCCCATTGATAAGGTTATTTCTCACTTCCTGTCCTGGTGACACTGTGTATGTTAGGGTTTTACAGGGTGTCAGAAAGGGAGGAGAAACAAAAAGCAATAAAAACCTGACAGAGTCTTTAACTTTTTCCACCCTATCCAAATCTTTCAAATAAAAAGAAAGTAATCACTTTATTATGATTACAGGAAAAGGTTAAGTTAGATAAGGCTAATGATTCTATAAAATGTACTGTAACTCACCTGTTTGATGTGACATAAAGTTAATTTTCTTGAAGGTTATTTTGTTTTTTTATGCAAAATTTTGTGATGCAATATTAGTTCGGAAATATTAGTTTGTGAATGTCATACTTTTAACAGCACAAATGTGTGAAAATAACTACTATTGTTTCTTGTCAATTTAGTAACTTGAGCAACAGTAAAACTAATTTTATTTAGTGTTTCTAAAGAAATAACAGTCCCACAAGAAATCGGAATGCAACCTATTCTCTATAAGCTTGTAAACTAATACCTTCTCTCTTTATAGTCCACAGGTAGCAGACAGTGAAGGGACAGTCCAGTTTGATGGAGATGGATTTGCAATGGTTAGCCGCCCTGTTAGATGGAACCCCAACATTTCTACAATTGTGTTTAAATTTAAAACATTTTCATCAAACACACTGTTAATGTACCTAGCAACAAATGACTTGGTGAGTAAACAATTAATTTACTAAACTTAAATTACTCTACACCCAAAACAGAACTGCAATCATCACTAACTAAAATACATAATACATAAAAAACCTCCATAAATGACTACAGCAGTTCACCTGCACTGCACTAAAGATATCACTACCAAAGAGTCAGTATAAACATGCTGTATATTAAATATATCACTTTATTCTGTCAAGAGTAGCTAAAACCAATTAAGATTTACCCTTCAAAAGCTGCACATTATACACTTATGCATCCCACTTTTCTCAACAAACATTACTCTGTGCATAAAGAGGCTGACAGTCATTGATAAACAACAATTTGCTTGTCTTAAGATGTAACATATGTAAAGATACAGACACTCTATTACATGATAGCGGTATCCTCAGGGATCTGAGGGGTTTGCATGCTGAAGATGGCATATAGCAGTATGAATTTCATTATTGTAGAATGTATGTTGTAGAAATGTCATTGT